TGAAGGAATGAGAGAGGGACTAAAGTTCCTTCTGATTCTAGAAAAAAAGGGTATAGGCAGATATAAGTGTCGGATAAAAAAAGGCTATATACTAGATGGGATTATTTAGGACTATTTCATTTGTTTAAGAAAAAACATTTTAACTCAAAAAATGGGATGGCCATATGTTCTTTATTGTGGCCATGTTAAGACATTTCTATTTTTGAAAATCTGCCATTAATATAGAATTTCTCCTCTTTTCATATCAGGATCTACTTTTGAAATTATTTGGACCTTAACTTATTTTTAGAATTGCAACTAAAAAGGAAGTAATAACAGTACATTTTTTTTCTTTACTTTTGGCAGCAGTAAAATAGCAAACCTTAGATTGTTCTCTTTTGCGGCCACATCTTGGGATCTGTCTAGAGATAACACCAGGGAGCTTTAAATAGAGATGGGAGATCAAGAAAATTGTTGATAATCATGTTAACTCAGATTTGTTGCAGACTTGCTGGATAAGAGCTCTAAATTATAAGTTGTATGTTGCTGATTGTGATCAAAGCATTTTTGAAAATATTGCAAAACAGACAAGCGGAAAACAACTGTCTCATGATTTGGTTATGCCATTAGATTAAGCAATAGGAATTCAGTGGCTTACAGAATCATGACATTATTCATTTAAAAATGCACAGACATCTCTCTGGTTACCAAAAGGGCCACACGGTGAAAAACAGACTAATTGGGGATTCACATTTGATTTTCCTTTTAGGTCAATTTTGAAAGTAGTTTAGAAAAAAACTGAAAAGGCAGCTTTAAATGCTATTTTTTCACTTTACTTTTCACCCCACTGTTAAATTCTTAGGCAACAAGATAGGCAAAGATGGGCTTATTATTTTTTATAAGTAGAATGATATTCTTAGGACAGTGTTGGAACAAATAGAATGAATTGGAGGGAATTTATATATCTGAATTTCCTTTTATAGAAGTTGACTAGGTAACAAATTATAACATGTTGAAAATGAAAAAATACACAACTATACATTTGTTTATTCATTAATAGGCCTTAATTATGTGTAAGAATTTAGTCATAGAAATTTTGAGCATACATTTAGAAAGTTTCCATGTTTATTTTGTACTACCATATATTCATTGCTCTGGTGCAATATTCTATAACATTTGTTGGCTCAGTTTTGCAAATGGATAGTTATATTAAGCTTCACATCATCCTTTCACTAAAACTAAAAATTGCACCATGGGTGTAGTATAAAGAATTTATGCTATTATTATTGAGCTTAGTATAAGTGACATCAATAATAGTGATAAGCATTTGTGTGTGTTTTTTGTTGTTGTAGTTTTTTTTTGTTTGTTTGTTTTTAACAATCACCGGCTTTGTCATTCACTAGGCCTCTCTCACCTAACCACCTAGTATCGCTGGTTGTCTTAGCTTCATATTTAAATGTCATGTTGTAATTGAACTTTAAAATGTATCTAAGTCTGATCCCTCCCTTTAGATTATAATCAGCCGAATACCAAAACCAGATAAAGACACCACAATGAAATAGACCAATATCCTTCAGGAACAGAGAGGCCAAAATACTCAACAAAATTCTAGCAAATAGTATCTAGAAGTACATCAGAAAGATCATAAACCATGACCAATTAGGATTTATCCAGGGTATGCAAGGATGGTACAGTATCCGGAAATCAATAAACATGATATATCACATAAACAAATTAAGAGATAAAACCACATAGTCATATTATTTGATGCAGAAAAAGCATTTGACAAAATCCAACACCCTTTCTTGAAAAAAAACTCAGCAAGGTGTGAATATAAGGATCATACCTCAACATAATAAAAGCCGTATATGACAAACCCACAGCCAACGTCATACTCAATGCGCAAGAATTAAAAACATTTCCCATATGAACAGGAACAAGACAGGGATACTCACTCTCACCACTTCTGTTCAACATAGTACATAGTACGGGAAGTATTAGCCATTGTGATCAGACAAGAAGAAATGAAGGACATCCAAATTGGAAAAGAAGAAGTAAAACTGTCTTTATTCACAAATGCCATGATACTATACATAGAAAATCCTAAAGATTCCATAAAAAATTATTATATTTAATTAATGAATTCTGCAATGTAACAGGATACAAAATTAATGCAAGAAATCTATGTAATTTCTATACTCCAAAAGTGAACTGACGGAAAGAGAGACTAAAAAAGCAATCCCATTTACCATTGAACCAAAAAATTAAGATACCTAGGGAATAAACTTAACTAAGGAGGTAAAAGACCTATATGTGGAAATCTAGAGGACACTGGAAAAAGAAATAGAGGAAGACATAAACAGATGGAAGAGCATACCGTGTTCATGGATTGGTAGAATCAACATCATCAAAATGTCCATACTACCCAAAGCAATCTATAGATTCAATGCACTCCTCATTAAAATACCAACAGGATATTTCATAGACCTAGAACGAACTTTCAAAAAATTCATCTAGAATAAAAAAAGACCCCAAATAGCTGCAACAATCCTGAGAAAGAAGAACAAAGTAGGTGGGATCTCAATACCAGATAAAAAGCTGTATTACAAAGCCACTGTTCTCAAAAGAGTCTGGTACTGGCACAAGAACTGACATATAGACCAATGGAATAGAATAGAGAACCCAGAAATTGACTCAAACCACTATGCTCAATTAATATTCGACAAATAATTTTCAACCTTTCATCTCAGGACACACATATACTTATTACTAAAATTACCTGGTGTATCGAAATATATATTCTTTGTCAATCTGACAAAAATGGGCATAATTTTGATTCATTAACACCAGGTGGCAATTGTGTTGGCTGTTGTCATTTTTTATTTTTCTTTGACAATCTAAGGGAAAAGAGGTCAGGGCCTCTGACTAAATAGTCAGATATTCCATGTTTTAAAAATTCTTGTGGCACACTAGGTGAAAACCACTGGTCTAGACCATTAGACATTCACTCCTGAATATTTGACTTTTACATTGATTTTTATCAAAATTTAAAAAAGGAGTATATGTCATATATAGGACTGGAAGTTTGATTGTATAAGCTAACTAAAGGCCCGGTGCATGAAATTCATGCACAGGAGGGAGGGGGGGCTCCCTCAGCCTAGCCTGCATCCTCTCCAACCGAAGACCCCTTGAGGGGTGTCCAACTGCCCGTTTAGGCCCGATCTTGGTGGACATTCCTTCCACAATTCAGGATTGCTGGCTTCCAAGCGCTCGCCTGCCTGCCTGATTGCTGCTAACTGCTTCCTGCCAGCCTAATGATCCCCTAATCACTCCCCTGCCAGCCTTATTGACACCTAACTGCTACCCTGCTGGTCTGATTGCCCCTAACTGCCCTCCCGTGCTGGCCTGGTCACCCCTTACTATCCTCCCCTGCAGGCCTGGTTACCACCAACTGCCCTCCCCTTCCCTACACCTCCCAATGGCCCTCCCCTGCTTTCCTGGTCACCCCTAACTGTCCTTCCCTGCAGGCCCTGTCCCCCACAATGGCCATCCCCTGCAGACCTGGTCTCACCTAACTGCCCTCCCCTGCTGGCCTGATCTCCCTCAACTGCCCTCCCCTGCAGGCCTTGCCCCCCCCCAACTGCCCTCCACTGCTGGCCTGGTCCCCCCCAACTGCCCTACCCTGTAGGCCTTGTTCCTCCCAACTGCCCTCTCCTGTTGGCCGTCTTGTGGTGGCCATCTTTGACCAAATGGGGGTGGCCATCTTGTGTGTTGGCGTGATGGCCAATTTGCATATTACCTCTTTATTATATAGGATAAAGAAATATGTTTCCTGTTGGAAAAATTAGTGTTCTTTAAAGAAGGTCATTCTATACTCTGATCTAAATAGCCTGTTGAAATTTCAGTTCTTATTGGGAGAAATTGAGAATTTTTTCTCTGGAGTTACAAGATAAGAGAGAGAAAATTACTTACACACAAGCAAGTTAGAAGGACAAATATACAAATCTCTGTGTGTGTGGAGGGGTATGTGAATCCATAGAGGACTTGACTGTATGGAAGCTTTATTATTTTGTATTTTTATTTCCATTGGGAGGACTGCTTCTTTTGATTTTATTTTTCTGATTATTCTACTCCATGTTTCTTTTTAATGTGACTCCATGAATAATTTTTTGATTATGCTCTGCACCTCAGAAATGTTAAGTAGGAGTTTTAAATTTGAACAAATTACCATAGAAATGTGAGCTAACATTCTAAAATAAATGCATAGTACAGGAGAAGCCTAACTAAATAGTATTAATTTTACTATTTTAAAACTCTCTTTTAGGAATGAATAGGAAACAAAATAATTGTATTATCTCTACCTGTTAACCTAGCTGAAGAAGTAGTGCAGATACACATGAAAGATCCCTTAGCAACACATGTTAATGACTAATGAGTGGTACATGTATATTTCAGACTTAATATATAATATAAGGAGACTTAGGTCATATCTTCTTATTCAGTTTCTGTTGTAAACAATGAACATTGAAGCATAGAATGACTCTGAGGCTTGTAACTTTCTCAAGTAACTATTTATTTCCATTCATTACATGATGCTTATTAAGATAGATAGAAGACTTGGGTTGTTTGTGAAGACTTTCAACAAGGGCTGAAACTAAGAAAGACTTTTAGATAATCAGAAAACCAAAGCTTCCTACTACTCACACTTTTGCATTAACTGCATTTGAGGTTATTAATATGCATCAGCTAGCCTTACTTTTGCTCATTAGATGTGGGAAATTTTCTAGAAAAAGTAAAAATCACGTTGATGAAAGGATCTGTCACCTGAAAGCTCTTCAATCCACTTGTGAAACTGTTAACAACAAAATAATAAAGCAGGAAAACCATGTATCTTCTGTGAAACCACAAATAAATTCAGACATGGATCAATATTTATTGTTCATAAACACTGACTTTTGTTAAGTTTGAAAATAATGAAGCTTTTTGTTCAGTAATATAGTTTGTTGTCCTTTGGGTCCTAGATTAAGAAGAAGCAGCAAGATGTGCTTGGATTTTTAGAAGCTAACAAAATAAGATTTGAAGAAAAAGATATTGCTGCCAATGAAGAAAATCGGAAGTGGATGAGAGAAAATGTGCCTGAAAATAGTCGACCAGCCTCAGGGTACCCCCTACCACCTCAGATTTTCAATGAAAGCCAGTACCGTGGGGTAAGGAATCAATTTAAATACTTGGTGTGTGTTTTTTTTCAAACGGATTTGCTCAAATCCATTTCACTCTCTTGTCTAGATTTGCATACAATCATTTCTCTTGTTCATTCTTTGTATCCATCCTATGCAGCTGAGGTATTTTGCCTATGACTAGGAGATAAATGAGCCACCCATTAAAATTACCTGTAAATGTAGAAATACAGATTTTTGACATGTAATTTTACATATCTTCATCTCAATTCCAACCAGAGCAATTATATTAATGTTTCTGGTATATCCATGAAGAAGTCTCTGAAAAGAGGTCAGCAGTTTGACTTATTTAGATTAACATTATTTTTAAAAAAAAGAGGAATGTCTTACTTTCTGCTTGAAACTAGTAATACTTTTATTTTGGTATCATTAATCAATTTTATTAAAATTTTAATTCAGCTTATTGAACTTATGTAAGAAATGAGAGAAAATGTTTTTCTTTTTTGTTTTTCTTTGCTTTGTGACTGGTGCTTTCAAGTATGCTATTTTGTTTAGTCTGCATTTAAACCATGGAGCATTTTCTTAAATACTTTATTAATTGTATATTCAAGTACCAGTTATAGTTTATGGCTATTTAGGCAGCACAATGGCAAGTAGAAATCTAAATAAGACACAGCCTCTTCTCTTAAGGAGCTGATTAAGAGTGGGGTGTGAAAAGAATCATACATACCTGAAACAATCAGAGAATAGTTATGAAGTCATGGTAGAGAAAACATAAGTAAGGGCTATAAGAATTTTCAGTAGAGAACTGTTTGCATTGCTATATCCTCAGAATTTGCCTTACTGGAGAAAAGGTATTTTTAGAGCCAGCAATCCATATCTTCTAGCTCATAAGTTTATATAAGAGTGATGCAGACACTTTTTGGTGGGGATCTTTTCATGGACCAATTCAAACCGTATAAGGGATGGGTGTGACAAACTTGAGAAGTTCATTGGCACAGACAAGTTTGTTAATTTAATTAGTCATTTCTGAGGAGGGGTCCTAAAAATTTCATCTGTTGCTGCAAACATAGCCAATATGTAAAGACAAACTACAGATAAGGAAAAGGCAAGTATGCTATCCATTAAGATATTGAAATCTCACTTCCTCTATATTTGAAATTTCTGAAAATTGGTGAATTAGAGTGGTTAGAAGAGGCCTGAGGGGTAATACAGTCCAACCTAAGCCAGCATATATTTTCTTAACCTCTCATTTTTAAAGCAGACATTTCAATTTGTTTGACTTTAAAAACAAACACATTTTGGTTTATAAGGGTAACATTTGAGAAATTACATTTACCTGGTTTATCTCTCCTTGTGAAGCCACACTACAAGGGAATGGAGTATATTATGGAAATAAGGCAAGAATCACTGAGCAATGGGAAGATGGAAAGGAAGGGACAAGAGGGTGAGACTCAACCAAATGCTTAAACATTTCTTAGTGGAAAAGGAATCCAACTTCTAGTGAGTGCTTGCTATGTGCCAGCCACTGAGTTGGGAGTTTAAAAACAATAAGAGTGAAGATTTGTCCCTATACAGACACTTAGAAGAGTATATAGTAACCTTTCATACAAAAATTTTTGGATCTTATCTATTGTGCTATGTGTTTAGTGCTTATTATATCTATCAGTTCTCATACTAATCCCCTGACATAGGTAATTGTTCTTATTCTATAGATGAAGAAATTGAGGTCTAGAAGAGTTGAACTGACTTCCTAAATTATACAATAAGTGGTGAAGCTAAGATTTAAATCTATACTCTGAAGCTCTTACACTTTCTATTAAGTCACTACATTGTTTATTTCCTTGTTTATTCAAAGTTTCCATCTTCATTCTTGTCTTGTTCCATTATGTGGTGGGTCTGACCACAGCAAATTACATGTTCTAATCTACATTGCCAACTGGCTGCCTATTAAGTTTGTCTGATAATAGGGTGTACTAGTTTGAAGAATGCAGGGCAGGAGGAGAGGAAAAACCAAAGTATCCCCCTCCTATCTATCTGGATGATCCATGACAGTGACAAATCTCCTTTATGGTACCAGCTGTACCAAGTACCCCAGCTCCTGGGTCCTGTAATATCACCTTCTTTACTCTTTTATTTTGCCCTAGATTTGGTAGCAGCTTCCTTTTGTTTGCTAATCTCTGAGTTGTCTCACCATCACCTGTTTGCCTTTCAGATTTTTAATCTCTTTTAAGTAGTTCTTCATATTAAATTGCCTATTTTAACTATCTCAAGATTTCTTAATCTTGGCACTACTGACATTTGGGTTGGGCAATTCTTTGTTGTGGGCAACTGCTCTGCACATTGTAGGATGTTTAACAGCAACCCAGGCTTCTGTCCTTGAATTCCAATAGCACCCTCACAGTTGTGAAAACATCTCTCCAGACTTTGCCAGATGTCTCTGTGGGAAAAATTACCCCAGTTGAGAAACACTGAACTATGGTAGCTTAGGTTATTTTTTCCAGACTGGAATGTGACGGAAACAACTACTCTATCTATATACATGAGACTCTGATATAAAAGATACAAAATTTATAAAGTAAGCTTTACTCTGAAAGATCTATGCTTCTATATGAAGAACCAAAACACATTTCCATGAAGTAATAAATAATATTATATCAACATATGGTATAATACACTCTGTATTAATGTTATTGGAATCTCAGAGATGTAAATAAATTATATTTTTTTTCTCAAGAGAATTCCTATATAAGAAGCAGACTATATCACAGTCTGTTTTGTTTACTCTTATATTCTTAGCACAAAGAATAGTGATTGGAATGTAGTAGCTGTTCAATATATATTTGCAGATTAAATTATTTAATCTGGCTTAATTGAGAAACTAGTGTCTTTTCTTTCAGTTACAAACCTGTTTGTGTTTGCTAAAACCAAGGCCAACAAATCATAATATACTTTGATACAAAAACACTTGAAACAAAGACAAGATTCCCCTACATAGCATTTTTATCAGATTTCAATAAATCTGAAGACCTGCTTTATTTCCTATAATTTTAAAGAATAATATGCATTGTTTTTGTTGCTTTCATGTTAGTAAGAAATATCTCTTGTTAGATTCTTTTAACTAGCATTTTGAGGTTACTTCAAAGTGAGTAAGTATAGGTATGATCTATATTGTTTGTTTACCTTGAGTAGCTTATAGGTCTCAGTATGGAACTGGTATCAAGATCCAGTTAGTTTCACTCTTGAATAGCAAGCTCAAATTGTATAGGAGGCTCATATATGACTGTTATTTAGGGTTTATTTCTTTGTCAACATCTAGGGTACACAAAAAGATGATTTGAGTCAATCTTTGTGGAGATACCAGGGCTCTAAACAATTCTGACTATAATCCCTAAATAAGGGAGAAATTCTGTTAAATTCACTTAACTAATGCTCTAAGCTTCTTCTTCTTCTTTTTTTTTTTTTGATGATCTGTTAGAAGCTTAAAGCACTAGTTAAGTATACAATTTTACCTATATGTTCCCAAAAATTCTAGTTTAGCACTTCTTAGTTGGGTTTCAGGAATCTGTATTTTAACAACTCCACCAGGTGATTCTCATCATGAGAGAAGCTTGGGAAACAAACAGTATGAAGAAAACCCAAACAAATTCAGTCACATGAGCCTTGCTTGACTCACCAGATAGAAAACTTTTAGTAGATTGTTTGCTCTTCTGGTCATATTTCATGAAAATCATATTCACTTCCTCCAAAGACAGCACAGATTTAATATTCTTATGGCCCTGGGCATATCTAGCAAATATATGGTCTACCATAGGCTCTGAGGACACCTCTACCTAATAAATAATAGTACAAAAATAATGGGAAACTGGAAAAACAAATTCATGCCAGAATAAATAACTTCTTACTGGTAAACTGCTTTGGGCTGTAGAGAAAGTTGCTTGCCCAAAGACAGATTTTAATTCTGTGTGATGTGGAATAAGCCATTTTGCAGTTTCTTCCCAACAGAAGAGCATATTTTCTATCTACATTAAATGAGATCCAATAAGCCTTGCTTCTTTATTATCCTTTCCATAATTCTAGCATTATGGAAATTAGTTATTCTGCTCCACCACGGAGGTTGACTAGGGAAGCCATTTTAAATAAATATCCTATTTTTCTTTCCTTTTATTCTATTTTTTGATTGCATATTGCTAATTTTTCTTACCCTTTTCCCCCCCACTGAGGACTATGATGCCTTCTTTGAAGCCAGAGAAAATAATGCGGTGTATGCCTTTTTAGGCTTGACAGCCCCACCAGGTTCAAAGGTATGATTTTCCTGCTTTATAGGCCACTTTATTGCTGCTAAGCTATTTTAATTGTAAGATTTCTACCTTTATTAAATACTCAGATTAAGTCCGAGGCCAGACAACATAACTGAAAGGAAATGTTTCTGCTTTGCATGCACTTAATCCCTAGTAGGGCAGTCAAATACATAAGTATGTGAGTAAGAAGTAGGTAAAATGACTTCTTCTTCAGTCTTCTCAAGGCAGCAAATTTCTCATTAACCCATTTGCAAATAAGTGGTAAGTATTTTAAAGACTCCATTATTCCAGCTGCCATTCATGGTTCTACATTGACATAAAGCATCTTAGTTCATAGTAATCTTCTTGGCAGCATCTGTTGTCTTTGTGTGAAGCAACTGTTAGAGTCATCCATTCAAATTAATTGAGGACATTTGAGTTTCCAAACTGGTCACAAAATAGCTCGCTAAATTTGGAGTTTTTCCTCTGCCAACAATAACAAAAAAATAATAAGATTTCAAGTTGCAGTGTTTCCATGAAGACCATATAAAGAAAAGAATCAAAAACTAAATTGCCTATATAATGAAATGTCTCAGAACTATGGACTTTAAATATACCTTTGTCAGGTCCAGTGGGAAGGAGAAGTCAATTCAGGGTAAGGGTTAAAAAGTAAAATAAAAATAAGTAAATAGGGCACATCTGGCCATTCTACCCCCTTGAAAATAGGAGTGTCCTCCCTACCAGGAGGCCTTGAAGAGCAGCAAGTCCATCCAGGCCCACCCCTTCATTAGCAAATGGCCCTGCCCACCCTGCCCCCTAAAGGAGTTGATTTTCTGGCTCTTGACCTAGAGATGAACTGGGCTGCCCAACCCCCTTGATGATTGGAGTGCCCTACCCACCCCCATATCTTGATGAGTGCTATGTATGGCCTACACCAACTCCTGATATGCAGTACATGTGGTCTGCTTCACCAACTTGACATGCAGCCAGCCTGGATGCACAGACTTGTTGCCCCATTCTGGCATGCCAAACCTGGAACCCTTGGACAACAGGCCCCAGTGACTTAAAGTGGTGCTCCTGGACCTGCAATCATGACAAAACATCCCCAGAAACACGAACCTACCATCAAGAATCATTGTGGCTGGCAAGGAAACCCTGGACAACCAGCCTGGCTACCTTGGAACTGGCCTCATAGCTGAGACCTGAAACTCTCAGACACACGGACCTGCCTCCTTGAACTGGCCGGCCTCACCTAGCACCCTGGACCACTGGACTTCTAAAATGAGGAGATAAAGAAACAACCTCCAAATGAAATAAAAGAAGAATCTACAGAAACTAAATTAAATGGAGGAAAACAATTTTTCAGATAAAGAATTAAAAGTAATGGCTATAAGGGTGTTCAAATAACTTAGTGAGAACTATAAGGAACTTAATGGTAACTATTAGATACTTAATGAGAACTACACCAGCATGAAAAGAAGGGTGAAACCTTGAGTAAGAATCAAATAGAAATGAAAAATGATATAACTACAATAAAGAATGTCCTGGAAGAAATCAACAGTAGATTAGAAGCTGAGGACTGGATCAACAAATTATAAAACAAGGTAGAAAACTACCCATTTGGAGTAGCAATTGGGGGGGGGGGAGAAAGTTTAAGGGAGCTTTGGGACAACATGAAATGTACAACATCAGCTTCATGGAGGTACCAGAAAGGAAAGAATCTGAGTGAGGAATAGAGAACCTGTTTGAAGAAAAAATGACATAAACCTTACTTCCCTAATCTGATGAAGGAAAAAGTCATAAAATACTAGAGGAATCTACAGACAGCAAAATCTCAGACATATGCCGAAAGAACTTATTCACTGATACTGCTCCTAAGGCAATGGAAGCTAAAGAGAAAATAAACAAATGGGACTACATCAAAATAAAAAAGTTTTTTCACAGCAAAAGAATCCATCAATAAAGCAAGAAAGCCCACTGTATGGGATAACATATTTGCAAATGTTATCACTGATAAAGGTTTAATCTCCAAAATCTACAGGCAACTTATACAACTTAATAGAAGGAAGATAAATGATCCAATAAAAAAATGGGCAACGGACCTAAATAGAATCATTTTGAAAGAAGACAGAAAGGAGGCCAAGAGACACATGAAAACATGCTCAAAATCACTAATTATCTGAGAGATGCTAATCAAAACAACAATGCAGTACCATCTCATACCTGTCAGAATGGCTATCATCAACAAACAACAAATATTGGCGAGGGTGTGGAGAAAAAGGAGCCCTTGTGCATTGCTGGTGGGAATGCAGACTGGTGCAGCCACTGTGAACAGTTCAAAAAACTAAAAATGGAAATCCCATTTGACCTAGTAATCCCACTCCTAGGACTATATCCTAAGAAACTAGAAACACCAATCAGAAAGGATATATGCACCTTTTTGTGCATAACAGCACAATTTACAATAACTAAGATTTGGAAACAGCCTAGGTGCCTGTCAGCATATGACTGGATCAGAAAACTATGGTATATCTACACAATGGAATGCCATAAAAAAGAAGGAAGTCTTATCATTTGTAGCAACCTGGATGGACCTGGAGAACATTATGCTAAGCAAAATAAGCCGGTCGATAAAAGAAAAATTCCACATGATCTCACTCATTTGTGGATAATAAAGAACATTATAAACTGATGAACAAAAAGATAACTACAGAGACACTAAAGCATCAAACGGACTGTCAAATTACAGTGGGAAGATTAGGGAGAGGTGGGGGAGATAAGAGATCAACTGAAGGACTTGTATGCATGTATATAAGCATTACCACTGGACGCAAAACACTGGGTGGTGAGGGCATGTAAGGGAGTGAGGTGGGGGGAGGTAATGGTAAGACATGTACACATATAATATCTTAATAAAAAAATGGAAAAAATAAAAATAATTTAAAACCAAAAAAGGCAATAAAGATATAAGTAAATAAATAAAACGGGATGTAACAATAAATAAAAAATATATACCTTTGCCTTTTACTGTAGGTCTTCTCCACACTGGCTAACTTGATCATACTGTTTGTCCACTATTCCATCAGCTTGCATTTTGTTATTAGGAACTGGAACTGATTTTATATAGAACAGATTCTTTTAAATCCATCTCCTCCAATTTTGAGAGTCTGTGTTATTGTTTGTGTTTTCACTAGAAAGCATTTACTTGCATTATTATCTGGATTACTGAGAAATTCTGTTTCTTTGTCAAACTTTCTTAAAATTGCTTCTTTTAGGCTTTATATAATTTAAATCACAAGAAATGTTAGGTAAGGGATTTTTGTTTAAAAATTAGTAAAATGCAATTTAAGTAATTGATTTCAGTACATATTTTAGAAATATGAAACTGAGGATAGTCTGTTTTATGTGACAGTAACTCCTTCAATTAAACGTAGCAATCATTAATTCATTTGTTCATTCAACAGTAAGTATTTAATATCAAGCACTGACTTAGCCTTGATGATGGAGCAAATATAGGGAATACTACATAATAGTCCCTACTTTTGAGGTTTTTAGTGAGGGCCATGTATACAATTAAGTATACAATATATAGGTCTACAAATAATTATAATTTAGGACATATTATGAATACATTTTAAAAGACATACTACAGAAAATTCTATATGATTGTTTTAAATAAGGGCTATAGCTGTCCAGAAGGAATAATCATATAATACATTACTAGTAAGGAGTTTGGAGACAGGTTCACAGAAAATGTGACATTTAGTGCTGTTAGGAATTTCAAAATACTGAAGTGACATTAAGACATTTTTACAGAGGCATCAACAGGAACCATAGCATTGAGATACACCTGTACATGATGATAGATTATCCCTCCTTATTTACAGGGGATACCTTCAAACATCCCCAGTGGATGCCTGAAACCATGGATTGTGGGGAAGCACAGGACTTGGTTGGAAAGTCTGTAAGGAGAATTCTCTGAAAGGTCAGAGGCCTCTAGGGATTCTTGCCAAAGGTGGCACACCCTGCCTTGACTTTTCCAAACAAGTGTGAGCCCCTGGATATTTTACTGGAATCTTTATGTTTAGACTTCAAAATGTCCTTGTTTTAAAGACACTATAGATACAGGTGTTTTCTCAAGGATACTTACCCTGATGATAGTATCTAGAGATTAATTTTAGTTCAAGCTGTTGCTATAATAAAAGGCAGGTGAATGGGATTGTCTGATTCTTTAGCCAAGCAGTCCCTTAGCCCTCTTTTTCACAGAAACATGTGTCAGAGTAATCATTCATCTGTCACTCAGGGTCTGCTGGTCAGTCCCAGCAATGAATAATGGATGGATATATATATATAGTATTTTTCCTATACATACCTATGATAAATTTTACTTTATAAATTGGGCACAGTAAAAGAGTTACAACAAAAATAATAAAATGGAACAACTTAAACAATATGTTATAATAAAGTTTTGTGTGTTCTCTATATCTCTAAAATTCTCTTATTATATTATATTTACCTTTACACTTAAAGGAAATACTTTATGGCTTCTCTTTAGCATAGTTGAACAGCCAGCAATAGTACTCTTGCACTCTGGGGCCATTATTAAGTTCAATAAAGGCTATTTGAATACAGTATAGCAGTTGTTTGGACAGCTACTTAAGTGACTATTGAGTGGATACAATATATAGTGTAGATACATTGCACCAAGTTTGATTCATGACCTGGGTAGAAGAGTCTTTTCTAAGGGCCACTTTTTGCTTGTGACTGTTTTTAATAATTTAAACTAATATAGTCCAACCAAAATACACATGGATATAGTTGTCTGCTTTGTGATATTTAAATATAACTGTTTTGTTTTGTTTTTCATTTCAGGAAGCAGAAGCGCAGGCAAAGCAGCAAGCATGAATCTTAAACATTCTGCCTTATGCTTCCTGGAAAAGGAATCTCCATTATTTTTATAAATTATCTTGGCTTCAAAAGAAATAGGCTGTCTTGAAATAATAGCTTCATTGGTGTTTTTGCATGCAAACAATCAAGCTGAATACATAATGAAATGTGAATGTTATGATAAGGAGAATGTGAATGAACATAAAATATTAAGTAGATGTTATGGAATAGTTTTGTTATCTGCGAAGACATTTTATGTACTTCAATGATTTTATAAAGCAAACATTTCTGTACTTTGTTGGTATTATTATTGCAGCTTAAGTATATCTGTAGCTCTACATTGAGAAATTTAAAAAGGAGAGAAAGAATCTGTCTTTTGTTCCCAAATTGCCTCATTACTTTTTTGTGAATAAAAACATGTATCTTTTTGAAGTGATGTTATTGTGACTAAAAAGTAGTTGTAGGTAATTTTTATGATATGGAAGACATTGTAATTTCCAATGGTAATTATAACATTCCTATTATTTTGTAGTTGAAACCTAAACGTACTGGAGTACAGGTTTTCCAGGCTTTTAAATTTAGCCTTTCATTACATATTTCAGTGATTAGAAGAGATAACCTCCCACAAAATAATGCCTTTGTTTGACAGATTTTTTGCTTAACTATACAGCATAATGATGTAACCATGTTTATATTATAGTTGCTTGCTCCAGTAAAATATGCATACATATGTTACAAAAATGGGATGATAAATACATTTAAAGTGGCATTCTTTTGTAAAGAGCTCAGACTTTTAATGAACTATTATAAAATAGGTCAGCATTAATTGCTTAAGCCTGTTTTGGAGGTCTTTGCAGTTTTCTTCTTTTAAAATAAATCGTGATCACAAATGCCACTATCTTTCAGATATTTGATCTTTGTATTTCATTATGGCCACATATTGTATGAATACATTAATCTAAGTACAGGGAATATTTTCTATGCCTCTATTCCAGTTAATAGTATAAGTATCAGATAAAAAAAGGTCAATTTTAAAATGTTAATTCGAAAGACTTCTAAGATGACAAGAAACATCATGGCCTGAGTCACCTACCCACAAGAAATATACATTGCATTTTAGTTCCCTATTACTTTATTAATAAAACACTTTTTAAAATTACTTTTTCATTGTCATTTGAAGTATTTAAGTCTGTGCTCTTTGCTAAAATCAACATGTAATGAAAACATGGCTTTGTTTACTGAGATTCAAACTTGATGTGATGCCTTAAAATAAACTCAGTACTGTTAGAAATACAACTGATGAGTTCCTGGAGTTTCCAAATAGTTTAATAGTGAATTTAAGTGAGTAGAGCAAATTTTTAGAGATATGATAACAAATAAAGCATTTTGGATGCAATTTCTAAATTTCATTTTTAGGCTCCTAAATTTGCAATACACACTAGAGTCAAACCAAAAAATATTCCATTGTTTTGTGTATAAAAATATGCTCTGGAGAACATTAGAGAAAACAGGGTGTTTTGTAATAGATTCTGTAAAATGTTTTTAAAAATTTGTCAATAATTTTTTCCTGAGCTTTATTAAATGCTAATGATGCTACTTGCAATAATCTGTGTGGAAATTTTCCTTTATTTTAGTATCAAATAAGTTAACACTATAAAAACAGTCATAAAAAATAGATGACCTTTTTGAGATGTTTGTACCTACTAGACTGTACCTTACAAAGAACAGATATGTATATTTAAAGTAAAAGGTTGGATTGAGGCTTCTTAAAATGAAATCTTTCATTTTGTCAGCTGAGCACTATATGTCTGATAGATACAAGAACAGGAAGGTAAATTCTGATTATTAAGGTTAGTTTTATAAATAACTTTCACAAAATTTGCCTGCACAATTATGTTGATACAACCAACTTTATTCATTAATCAGTTGAGAGACATCAAGTTGTTTCCAATTTTGGCTATTATACATAATTTACTATGAATATTCCTGTACAATTTTCCCCCCAAAATTTTTAGTTTTTTGGAGTGTATATATAAGTCATGTGGTAGTTCCATTTTAAAAATTTGAGGATCTGCCAAAATTTTCCCAAGTTGCTGCACTATTTTACATTGTTACCAGCAGTATATGAGGATCCTAATTTCTTCATTTTCTGCCTGTCAGTTAGTATTTGTCTTTTTTTATTCTTAAAAAATACAGTTAAAGAGGACAGAGCTGTGTTTTATTTGTAATAAGATTTCCAATATATGCACTTATTTTAGGCTAATTTTCCCAACCCCCAACTTTTGTGATACTGTCCTATTATCACACAGTGCCAAAAATCAAATAAACACATTAGTACAATGTTTAGAATCATTATTAGCAGTAATTGGTAGTTACACTGTACTAGGATAGAATGAACCACCTCAATAGCTTCTGAGGCTAATACATTCTATCACCACAATTACTTTAGCAAATCTGGTTCCCTTCACTTCTGCAAAATTATTTGTCTTTTTTAATATAGTCATTTTAGTGGCTGTAAATTTATACCTCATTATAATTGTGATTTACATTTCTCTGATGATTATATTGAGCATCTTTTCATGTGATCATGATTATTTATATAACCATTTTATAAAAATATCCTTTCAGCCCTAACCGATTTGGCTCAGTGGAGAGAGTGTTGGCCTGTGGACTCAAGGGTCCCAGGTTCAATTCTAGTCAAGGACATATACCTTGGTTGTGGGCACATACCCAGTAAGGAGTGTGGAGGAGGCAGCTGATCAATGTTTCTCTGTCATTGGTGTTTCTAGCTCTCTATCCCCCTCCCTTACTCACTGTAAAAAATCAATAAAATATATATTTTTAAAATATCCTTTCAAATACTCATCTATTTTCAACTGGATTATATTTTCACTAGAGGCCCGGTGCACAAAATTTGTGTGTGTGTGTGTGGGGGGGGGGGGAGGTTGTCCCTCAGCCTGCAGCCTTTCCAATCTGGGACCCCTCAAGGGATGTCAGGCCACTGGGCGGATCAAGGGGAGGCACCAGTCCCATTACCCCACTGCTGCAGCCACTGCTAGCCACTGCAGCCACCAAGGTGTTTTCATCAACACGGACTCTAGTCCCTTCACTGTGAAAAAATGACAACTTTCTTTAGGCATTTTCAAGATGTATCTTTCATAGGATATGACATTTCTTTTTTTTTTTTTATCCTCATCTGAAGATATGTTTCCATTGATTTTTAGAGAGTGTGGAAGAGAGAGGAAGAGACAGAGGGAAACATCAATGTGAGAGGGACACTTTGATTGATTGCCTCCTGCATAAGCCCTGACCTGGACCGTGGCCAGGGAGGAGCCTGTATCCTAGGTAAATGCCCTTGATCAGAATTGAACCCAGGCCCTGTAATCAGCAGGCCAAGGCTCTATCCACTGAGCCAAACCAGTTAGGGCAGGATATTATATTTCTTAGCCCCTCCAGTAGCGGACCTTCATTTTTTTCCTCCAGGAGTGTGGTGGAAAAACCCTAGATCACGTTGGGTTCTTATAACCCAAGTTACCAAGAATACTGCAAGTGGCAGCCTACAGGGAGCTTAGCCAATGAGCTGTCAGAAAAGGTATTTACTGTCAAACTTGTTTGGCTCAGTGGATAGAGCCTCGGGCTGCAACTAAAGGGTCCCAGGTTTGATTCCTGTTAAGGGCATGTACCTTGCTTGGAGGCACATCCCCAGTGGGAAGTGTGCAGGAGGCAGCTGATTGATGTTTCTCTCTCTCATTGATATTTGCTACTGTCTATCCACCCCCCCCTCTTCTCTGTAAAAAAAAAAAAAATCAATAAAATATATATATATATTTTAAAAGATGTTTCCTCTACAGCTCATGCAGCCCCTGTGTTGTGTCCACTGGGCTAGGGTGTGTCCCTACCACCTGGTGGTGGCCGCAGGGGTCTTTGCACACCCCAGAGGTTAGCAGCCATCCTTCCAGGGCGCTGGGCTGGGGGCATGGACGCAAACTGTCACTTGGTGCTGGAGCTCACAAAAGCCGCTGGGGGCAGGGTGGGAACATCTCCATCACCTAATGTCTCTGAGACCAGTAGCCAGCCCCCGTGTCGTGAGTGCTGGGCTGGAGGCATAGACACAAACCACCACTTGGTGTGGGAGTATTTGCAAAGGCTTGGCACCTGTACCCATAGGCTCCGAGTGGCCAGGGGGTGTTCTGGGACCCCTGCCCCTCAGGACCTAAATGCAGGTCTACAGGCTAGGAGCGGCCTGGGTCCAGAGGATGTTTCCGGGACTCAGGCCATTCAGCCCCTGAATATGTAAATTAACCACCATCTTTGTTGCATTAATTTGCATATTCACTCTGATTGGCTGTGGGTGTAGTGAAGGTATGGTCAGTTTGCATGTATCTCTATTGTTAGATATGATTCTTAACTTGCAAGTGTCCTTTACACAGTATATTCAGAAAACATGTCTTATCAGATATGCAATTTGCAAAAATGTTCTCCCATTCCATGGATTGTCTTTTTCTTTTTTTAATATTCTATATTTTAAAATTACAATTTACATTTAATATTATTTTGTATTAGTTTCAGGTGTAGTGCATAGTGGTTAGACAAATAATAAACTGTTCTCCCTGATATTTCCAGCACCTGCCTGGCACAATACATATTTATTACAATATAATTGACTATATTGCCTATACTATACTTTACATCCTCATGACTATTTTATAATAACAAATCTGTATTTCTCAATCTCTTCACCTTTTTCAGCTATTACCTCAATCCACCTCCCCTCTGGCAACTATCGATCTGTTTTCTGTATCCACGAGTCTGTTCCTTTTTTATATTTATATTGTTGTTTATATTTCACATATAAGTGAAATAATATGGTCTTTGTCTTTCTCTGACTGACAGTTCATCTAGCAAAATATGTGCTAGGGAGGTTGGATAACTGGATGAAAGAAGTGAAGGGATTAAGAAGTACAAATTGGTAGTTACAAAATAATCATGGGGATATAAATTACAGCATTGGTAATATA